AAAAAAATATTTTAGAAGAAAATGTTGTTGTTTTTCTAAACGGCTTTCGCCCCCCCCAGTGGCACAGCGGTAAGTCTGCGGACTTACAACACTAGAATCCGGGTTACGATACCCGTGGTGGGCAGAGCACAGATAGCCCATCGTGTAGCTTTGTGCTCAATTGCAAATAAACAATAAACGGCTGTCTTATCTGTATATTTCACAGTACGTTTGTTCTTCCTGCATAAATATTTTTCAGGTAAGCTGTTAAAAGGTAAATAGTAACATGAGATATTATAAATACGTCATATCATTACCTGTTTTTTGCTATTAAGCCATGATATATATATATATATTTCTGAACAAGTATTTACATCCCCATGTAAGTTTCATAAAAGGAAATATGTACTAAAACTTTTGAAATGGATGAAGTATAACAAATTACGAGAAAATGCTCATATACGATTCTCCATATCTTTACACTATTTCTTGGTCTTTGCGTGTCTGTTTTTCATTATGTCTGTATCACTTCACATACTCAAGTCAGCTTCTTTTCTGACTCTCAGCTACTTCTAATTTATGATCTATCTTCTTGTGCGCTTATATCCTGCAGTGCTCTAAATTATTTATCATTCAGGTAAGGATTTTGTAAAATAATCCCGTATTATCGTAGTATGTTCTTTATTTATGAATCTGCTTACGTGTTACATAAACCTTTTACGTATTGACCTGGTTCCTTACCACATTTTTTTTTCATATTTCGTGTATGTGTTTACTTTCTATTTTTACAGATGTAATGTATTATTTGCAAGTTATCCAAGAATGGAACCTTGAACTATATTTTGGTTAATGAACATTATTTTGAAAGTTGCACTCTTGGTGCATCATTTGAATGCGATGTTGCAAATGAAGAAACAAAATACCATTCTCAGATATTTACCATAGACACTTGGCACGAACTCCTCAGAAAGAAAAATGAATTAAAATATACTGTGCAAAGTAAATCAATAAAATAACTCATCTTTATCCAGCATACCTAGAACGAGGATTGTTTAAGGTCCATTTGTTATACAGTAAGTTATATCACTTACATCTTGCTGTAGTAAGATAAAAATCCTACGCACTGATTATTTATTTTCCCCAATATATATTAATGTGCAAATCAATGATATTATTGTGTATCTGTAATGTTCTACTTATGTGAGTTCTAGCGAGATAGGAAATTAAAACAACAACATCTGATTATTTCTGAAGATCTTTTTCGTGTAATCAGAAATAAGAATGGGAATTTGTACTTCAGATTATCATTGTTAAACTAATTCAGTCATCATCAACAAACTAGTTTACACACCACATTGATTATCATTGTTAAACTAATTCAGTCATCATCAACAAACTAGTTTACACACCACATTGATTATCACTGTTAAACTGATTCAGTCATCATCAACAAACTAGTTTATATACCACATTGATTATCATTGTTAAACTAATTCAGTCATCATCAACAAACTAGTTTACATACCACATTGATTATCATTGTTAAACTAATTCAGTCATCATCAACAAACTAGTTTACACACCACATTGATTATCACTGTTCAACTGATTCAGTCATCATCAACAAACTAGTTTACATACCACATTGATTATCATTGTTAAACTAATTCAGTCATCATCAACAAACTAGTTTACATATCACATTTTTTTAAATATTTTCTCAGT